CCAAGGTCACCCAGCTGGCTTTGTGCCTAAGGCAGGACTAGAACTCATGGTCTCCCGGTTTTTAACCACTATCTCAAACTAGCTCTTTGAATACTATATCTGGGGGGAATTTGGCCCACTTGTATTTCTCCTGTGTCAAACTCCCAGCTATCCATAGAGTTGACAAGGGGAACATGGTATTGTTGGAAGCAATCTTTCAGCTGGGACAGTCTGTTCCACTGTTGAACAATTTATGTCTCCTAGAAACTCCCAATGCTTAGTTTCATGATTGTTTTTGAGATCTGAACCCATTGGCTCAGGTCTCATTAGAACCAACAGAAATAATTTGACTCCATCATCTGTCTAATAAGCGTCTAATTGTCTGAAAACAGTGAAAGTATTGCATCTTTGATTCTCGCTTTTCAGGCTAAACACATTCCATTTCTTCAGCCTGTTGTTATCTCAACAGTGACATGTTCTCAGAATCAATGAGTAGAAAGAGAAGTCATCAATAATTTCTATGGATAAGAAGACCCAGGAATACAGAAACAGGAGGAATGTTTCTACTACACAGTCTCCTACAATAGAGACTGTGAGCAGCTTGTATATGCAGTTATTATGAATTAAATTATTCTTCAACTGAGAGTCTCAGACCATTTTATTAAAGGGGGGAAAAAAACCAGTCTCACTTCAGTCTCTGCTGCTGTCCAGAACTGGATACAATATTCCAGACAAGGTTCCACCAAACCAGAATAGAGCTGAGCATTAGGACCATTTCATTAGTCTTCACACTTCAGGCTTAAGTTGAGCAGGAGTTCTATGAAACCCCTAGATCAGTGTTTCTCATCTATCTCATCTCTCATTTCTCAGTATGCTGGCTGGGGAATTCTGGGAGTTGAAGTCCACACATCTTAAAGTAACTGAGGTTGAGAAACCCTGCCATATATGTTTTTTACATGTACTCCTGAAAACTCAGGGGATATTAATTGAATATTTGTGCAACTGACTCCTCCAGCTAAATTCAGAGTTTTAGCTTTATCTTTGCCAATAAATCTAAAATTTAGTTGACATGTATTTATTTTAAAAATTCTCCCTCCTGCCAAGGTCAGCTTGAATCCCATTCCAGTGTGTTGTTTGCAAGTTTGATGGGACTCCCTTCATTCCTTTGTCCAAGTCTATTAAATAAAGACTTTTGACCAGATCAAGGGTCTTCCTACTTGTCACTTATCTCCAGACTGACAAACAACACTGATAAATATTCTTTGACTGTGACCCAGCAACCAGTTACAAAATCTTCAGTTACATGCTTCATCAAATTTTAGTAGCTTGGCAGCACAATC